ATTATTTACTCTAAATAATGTTAATGAAAATGACACAGATAATAATGATAAATATTTAATTATATATACCAAATTACTTGCTAGAATATTTCTAAACTTCTATAATATCAGAACTTTTCGACATGTGTAATCGATCTGTCTTTCTCTGCTGTCAGGACAGCGATGACACTGTTGATCTCTGTGAGGAAATGCTGCAGATCTCCATGTTAGTGAAGGAGCTCCCGGCCTCACTGCCGCATTCTGGGTATGAAGAACTAGAGGATATGATGTTCTTCAGCCTGTGGAGAGCAATGATCAACAGGGTAAGGAGGAAAAGCAGCAAGCTGAGGAAGATGGAGACGTAGACGTAAACACTTGCAGTCCGTCCATATGAGGCAGCGGCCGCCCCGGTAGAAACAGATGCAGGGCTAAACCTCAGGAAACTCTCGCTGTCCACTTCCGTACCATTGATCTCCTCCACCGCCCCATCCATCCCAGACATATCTGGTGGATTTGGGAATCTGTTGGGAAGATAGGATACATAGGATAGATAAATTATTATTTAGTCACATTTTTTTTATTAGTCTGCTGTTTTGTAAATTAAATTATTACTATTATTACTGTTCACTTAAAACTCAGGGATTAAGCTCGTGTGAACATATGATTTGGATCATACAGATCATATTTTAAAATATTATTGGATACATTAATGTTGTTACATTCCCACTAATGGCCTACTGTAGTATCCATAATATTTTTACTTTGTGAAGTATTTCATAAATTGTAAATAACAACAAACCGTCATTTATATTGTATTATATTGTAATTAAATATTATATTCAAATGTAAACAAATTTAGATTATATTATATTACAATATATTATATGATATATAATATAAACATTATTTTAATATATTAGGATTAGAAGCATTTGAACATATGAGATCATACAGGGATCATCCAGAAGATATTTGAAAACATTATTGGACACATTAATGTTATTCCATTCCCAGAAAATGGCCTACTGGAGAATTTTTTTTAGCTCAAATTTTAATATGCTTATTTAATTTATGAAATATTTAATAAATTATAAATAGTAACTAACCAAAATGCATTAAGTTTATTATGAATTTATTAAATTATATTTATTAAATTGAATTAATAATACATTAATATTACAATTATTGTTAGTTAGTTATTATTTAATAATAAATTAATATTATAATTAAATAATATAGTATACCTATATATTATAGCATACAAATTATTATACTATATTAAAATATAATAATATAATTAGTAATATATTAAAATTATATTAAAATATTTTTTCTTACAGCTCCTAAAGACTTTTTTCAAGACATTTTCCAAAGTTTGCTTTGTTGTTGCCTTCCACTTCTTGATCAATGCATCATCATGATGAGAATATTGTCATCATTTTATTAATCTGACAGGCCAGTCATATTTTACGTCAAGCCACCAGTGTTCACTGACACACAGCTGACTGTTTCCTTATCTGATCTCTGTCTTTGATGAATGTTGGATTTGTATGGTTTAGAAAAACAACAACAACCAGATCACTTAAATACTTCAGATTGAATGTGAAGAGGATGATAATCACATTTAATTATGCTTTTTGTATCCAGGCAACCTGCATATCAGTGGGCTCATAAACTGGAGCTTGTTGTTGATAGGCCACCTCCGGTCCATTAGGACTTTGGGGTGGTCACACCGGCCCAGTGGTGCACACAGAAGGTCAGTCAATTGTTTACACAGCTTGCATACTCACACCTCATGAATAATAGATTGAGAGGTACCCGAGCTGGAAAATGTCACAGAGTTTCCCAATTTAAAGAGAACAACATGCCAAATCATTTGTTTGACAGGCTGTCGGTATCAAAAATGTGTTTTTTTACAAAGCTAGTTTATTTGTGGCCGTTCAAAATCTGAGCTTATACAAGACCAACATGCATTCAGCTTTGAGCAGAAACAATTTTCATATTTACAAGCTCATTTGACAGGTTTAAATTATATCGTTTACATTTTAATTATTAAAAATAATGGTAACACTTTACAGTGAGATCTCATTTGTTGACATAATTAACATTAGCTAATGTTCAATGAATGCAATATATTTTTTTATTAATCTTTGTTAATGTTATGCATTGTTCATTGTTTGTTCATGTTAGTTCACAACAGATACAACTTGTGATTTAAAAATGCATTAGTAGATTTACATGAACTAAGATTGAAAAAATGCAAAGTGAAATGAAAAATGAAGACAACTAATGCATTTAAAGGGACAGTTCACCCAAAAATGAAAATTCTGTCATCATTCACTCATCCTCAAGTTGTTCCAAACCTTGTTCATTTTTGGGTGGACTATCCCAACAACTGAGACCCTATTGTAAACCAAATAAATTTTAGGAGCTGCAATACTGCAGATCAGTGTAACGTTTCTCACGATGTTCAGAATTTGTTTTCAAGAACCCTAAAAATTGTACACAGATGTTGGCCAAAACAAGTGAAGTATTTTTAGTCAAACACAAAACTGGCTATTTGTTTGTTTGCTGGCATATTTCAGTCCCCTAAGCTTCACTGTATGGGACTACAGTCGTCTGAGCCACAGTGGGCCCTGAGAGCCTGTGGTTAGAGTCTCATAAAGGGTTGTGATTAATGACCACTTCCTTTCTTCTGAGATGCATTCGTCTGCAGAGACGTGCTAGAAGACAGCAACAAACGGGAAATCACACTTATTTTCCTGGACGTTTCCTCGGTCAACTTTAACGTTCCCCCCACCAGCTTTTCAATTTATGAGTGAGATGAGAATCCCTGCGGCAGTATAAATCATTCGATCCCTCTTGTGGTTTGCCTGCAATTCCAGGAGAAGTTCAGCGGGTCATTACGGTGTGCGGCTCTAATCTCTGTTTATGGATTTCGTTTAGGGAAGCTTGTGGAAGGAGAATGTGGCTATTAAGAAAATGACTCAAACATAAAGCTCCACAGAGGATGTCAATGAACGAGGGGAGCGGGGGATGGCGAAATACAGAGAGAGGAGAAAAAGAGATTTGAGACTGACTGGAATACCTGATGATGACGGTCCGATATCACTTACTAGAAGCAGATACATCTTTTTAAATCACTTAGCATAATGTTAATTTCAATTAAACACATTAAATGACACATTTAAGTCAGTCTGGATATTTAAGAACAGTTTAGTTTTTTAACATTCAAATTGAAAATAACATCAGCTTTTATCTTTTTTTCTGAGTAAATTCTGATAAATATAGTATAGAAATACTGACCTTTTTGATGCAAAAAAAAACAAACGTCAGCACTAAATCACACAGCTATCCGTCGTGCTCATCTCAGGGTCCTGGAGTGAATTCCTCATGGGATTCCTTGAGCTATAGCGCACGCTGAAATAGATGCTACTTATGTTTGTATTGAGAGCAGAGGAGGAAGCAGTGTTTCTGAATGCGTTGGGTCTGGAGAGCTGCTTCTCAACAGTGGGCTGGATATCGACTGTCCAGCTGTGGTACTCTGAATTCCCCCTCCCTCACCGTTTCATTCCTATCATCTCTCTCACTTTCTCGTTCCCCCCTCATCTCCACTGACGTCTTCTCGCTTTCTTTAGCAGCTGATTTATGTTTCAATTAAAACCAAAAAGGATGTCTCACATGATGATACCATCGTTCTTGCTTTAATTGGGATTTGATTATCTTAGTGATATTACTCAGCTCAGCAGCTCAGACTCTTGACGACAGGCTTCGCCCAGGCAGGGTCTGTTTGTCTTCTCCCATGGTGCCGTGCTCAGTCATTCATATCTGACAGAACTAATCACCGCTCTCATCAGCATCATAAGCCGAGAGGCCTCTCGTGTAGCTGTCGTTGTGGCTTTACTCTCAGATGTAATGAACACTGAATGAGACCTATTGCTGGGCTCATATATTGTACAAAAAGGAGTATTCTGCATTGTAATACAAGCATGAGGGTTTTTGTTCAATTTAGTCCAGCATAATCTTGTTTTACACAAATAAAGGTTTAAAATAAAGCTTTTTTATTGGCATGATACCCTGAAGAACTTTTAACACCTATGGAACCTTTCAATTCCAAAAAAAGGGTTCTCTATAGTTGATACAGTGGAAAAGAGTTTGAAATGTTCTTCACACTAAGAAAAATATGTTTTTTTTAAGAACTGTTCACTGAAAGGTTCTTTGGGGAACCAACATTTTTGGTCCCCAACAAAACTTTCCATGAACAGTTTTTAAAATAGCCATTTTTCTTAATATGAAGAACATTTAAAAATCAAAAGAACCCTTTTTCTACTATAAATAACCCTTTGTGGAATGGAAGGGTTCCATAGATGTTAAAGGTTCTTCATGGATCACATAGATGTCAATAAAGAACCTTTATTTTTAAGAGTGTATGTCAGTCAGATGTCACATTTGAACATATTCTTCAGGTGGCAGAGACATTGAGAATGAAAAATGAAGTCAAGTCCTGGCCATTTCTGATTTTATCACCAAAGCATTTTTTTAAATAGACACGTCTGTCTGTCTACAGAGAGTCTGGTGCGGACTGGCATATGGATGGAGCAGAGCTATGCATGTCAATAGAAGCGAGGCGTCATGCCTCCTGGGAAGGTCTTATCTCTTCTGCTCTGTGCACTAAAGACACGGAACACAGATTATGGATCGACGCAAAGCAAAGCATGACTGTCTGGCGCAGCTCGCTTCTATTATTTTATATCATGAATGGGAATTCTGTTTCGGTAATAATGCATTCGAACTTATTGATCATCAGTGATTCATCTTGAACCAGTAGAAAACCCTCTGTTCCTATTAAAGGGACAGTTCACCAAAACATGAAATTCTGTCATCATTTAGTCGTTCCAAACTTGTCATTCAACTATTTTTGTCCATGCAGGTCAATAGGGTCCAAAACAACACTGATCCACAATTGACTTTCACAGTACACAGTAAAAAAAATCTGTGAAATTTACTGTAAAAAGACATCAGCTGTGGTTATTTTGGGTTTTATGGTTTAAACTTAAATTTAAAGTAAAAAAAAAATATGTAGAGGGTGCACAGTGTCATGAACACAAATACAAAACACCATCATGGTAACACTAAAAAAATGACACTAATATAATACAATAAACATTAATTTAACAACATAAGATACAGCATAAAACCCTAATGTACATAATTTATAAGAACTTACCATTTACCAATTAACAGGTTTTTACTATGGCATTTTGAATTGTTTACGTGAATGGACAAAAATAGTCTTTTTACCGATACAGATTTACAAAACATTAAATATATAAATGTATATTTAATTATTTGTCTCAAATTTTCAGCATTTATTTTTTTAACCACAAAGATATGGATACAAAAAGACAAAGCAATAATGGTTTTCTATGTTTCTATTTAATTGTATTTATTTTAATTGAACTAACTTATAAGCTAATGTAAGTGTTATACAGACATGTAAATGCTCAGGGAATTTACATGTTTGGACAAACATAGATGTAAAAAACAACTAAAAGCAATAATTGTAGCAATAATAATAGCAATAATTGTAAGTTTCCAATTAAATGTGGAACTTAATTTAAGTGAATTAAGAAGATCTTTTTCTTTGTAGATCTACAACTTCAAAAAAAAATCAATAGATCTACAAAACAAATCAGTAGATAAATGTATTTAACCTTTTGTTTCAAATTTTATACATTTATAAAAAGATATGGAATGGAAAATAACACTCATTTTTACAGTGTATGAACAAAACATTTTTCCATTTTTTTAAAACATCTTTTGTGTTCCGCAGAAGAAAGTAAGCTATACGACACGAGGGTTTGGGATAATAATGACCGAATGCTCGTTTTGGGCTGAAATACCTCTTTAACATTCATCGAAGTATTCGCTCTCCTCATAAAATGTGCAAGGACGGGAGTTAGAGGGCAATTTCTGCCTCTAGACATATATTGGCAGCCTTCCACTGTCAGCTCAGATGCCCACTGGGGACCGTTGGTCAGTCCTGCTGTGTCTGATCCTGTCCTTTGGGTCTTTATAATTGCTCCAGCTAATGCCAGCGCTGAGGCACACGAGTGAATGCTGTTGGATTTTGATAAGAACAGTGCCTTGGCTGATTTTTCCTCTAATCCATCTAATCCATAAAACTGTAGAAATCAGAGAAGGTTTCTTATTCCCCTGATGCAGGCGATTCAGCCCAGCTTTGGTGCATTTATTTCCATTGCACAAGTAGGTCGAATGTTAACACACGGCATTCGACGGCAAGGCCGCCTGAAGCGTTTTCATTAGACTGTGTGCTGACTTCAGGGGGAATGGGTCGCATTGATAATGAATCATCCGCTCACCCCGAGTCTGCTCTACTGGTTTTGACAAGAATGTCAGGTTTGAAGAAGCTTTGTGGCAGACAACAGCAGTGTGTCAATCAGGATTATTCAGTGGAATTCTCTAGGCAATATGGGAAGGTTTACACAGTGGAGCATGTCAGAGGAAGAGTCCATGGAGAGCACACTCTCCTCTCTTTCAATTTCCCGTCTTCCAGTTTTTCCCAGCTGAGATGATGCTCTTTGCATAGCAATCCAAGTCTCAGAGGTCTCTGTATTTCTCTGACAGCTCAGACAGAATCACCTTCAATAGTGGCCTAGCAACTCCCACCCTGTCATATGGACACGTACGTGTTCAGGAAATTTACATTTATAGACAGTGACAGTGACAAAAAAACACTAACAAAAATAGCAATAATTATAAGTTAATTTTAATTTAATTAAATTAAAAAACTTAATTTAAGTAAATTAAAAGGGCCTTCTTTGATAAATGTACAGAACATTTAATGGATAAATGTATATTTAATAATTTGGCTCATATTTTCAACATTTATGGATGTTATTTCAATATTATTTTAATTTTAACCCAATTTAAGTGAAGTTTCATACAGGCATGTACATGTTCAGGAAATGTATGGCATAGATAGAGATACAAAATAGCAATAAATATAAGTTTTGATTTAATTTAATAAAAAAACTTTAAAAGGTATCTTTCTTAGAGAAGTTGTAGATTTACAAAACATTCAGTTGATAAATGTATGTAATCATTTGTCTTAAATTCTTAACATTTATGGACAAAGACATGGACACAAACAAGACTAAAAGTAGCAATAATGATATGATCCTATTTTAATTTAACAATTTAATTTAAAAGTGAATTTAAATGGCATACAGACACATAGATGTTCAGGAATTTACATTTATGGACAAATATATAGATTTAAAAAATAGCAATTATATGTTCCAGTTTAATTTTATTTATTGTACAATTAATTTAAAACATCAATTTAAGTAAATTAAAATGGTCTTTTTCTTAGAGAAGTTGTAGATCTACAAACCATTCAATAGAACAGTGTATATTTAATCCGTCTCAAATTTCAACATTTATGAACAGATGGATACAGAATTATTAAAAATAGCTAGAAAGATACATTCTAATTTAATTTAGTTTAATTGAATTTTATTAAATTTAAGTGTCATACAGACATACATGTTCAGAAAATGTAGATAAAAACAGCAGTATGTTCAAATTTAATTTCATTTAAAAACTTCAGTTAAGTAAATATTGGGTCTTCTTTTCCTCCTAGAAGTTGTAGACCTACAAAATTCATTTGTTTCTTTTTCCCAGCATTTACAGGTATGCATATAACTTTAACCAAAGTAACTAATGCCATGCTTTGCCAGATGAGCTACAGAAATATGTGAAACTCCATCATATCTGCCTGCAGACTTTTGGCACCATTTGAATTTAGCTATAAACTGGCATCGACAGTTCTCAGCATATATGAGAACTGGAAATTTAACGCTATAGCTCAGCACATTGTCTGCTGCAATACATCAAGATAATCGAATGGCAAGGAACCCAGTTCAATCTGCCTTACACAGCATACAGAACTCCTCATCCCAAACTTTAGACAATGTACATACATATATAAGTTATCAAATAACTCACTTCCTAACTATGTTTCACTTCCTAACAATGTTTTCCTTATACAAATGCTGATCTTAGGCCAACACACGTCAGAACTCCAAGTAGGCTAACATACGTCAGTACCGTGAGTGTTCATACTGCATTCTCTGAATTTTCTAGTGTTGATGTCATGGGTTTACTTGCGAGGGAGAAGAATCCTCAAGTTTATATCCTCCTGAACTATAGTAAGCACAAACTTAATTTACAGCTCTGGGTTTGCTATAACATGTCCTGATGTTTGTTTATACCCACACCACCTGATTTCGATATCAGCAGTCTCAATCTTGCTCTGCAGCACAGATTACCCTGGCTGTCAGCACTCTGTTATTGTTGAAATTTCTCTTTCTGCCAGACAAAGAGAAAACAACAGCACCAGGGACGGTAAGGAAGAATCCATCCGTTCCAGACAGAGCCTGTTTTGGCCATGTAGAGACAGGAATAGTTCTTCTTATACTCTGTAAATCACAAATGATTGTATAGACATTCAGTCCGTAACTACTTTGTATATTGTCACTTGAAATGTGGAGTAAGCAGTTTTCCTGATTGATATGTGTTGAAATTTGCAATAAATTCTCTGTTTGTGTTTGTGCTACAAACATGTCAGGGTTCTTTCTATGTGATCTTGTGCTTGAGATATTGAATTCAGCCCTGCTGTTTTTTATTGTACAGAGATCTTTAATTAGATTTATAGAGGCTTTGTAGTGTGAGACCTGCAGAGAATCTCAATTCTCACGAAGTCCCCGGTCAAGGCCCATGCAGTGAATTGCTGAGTCCTACATCACATATTGAGAGCGGTCTTTGCAGGACTCAGACTTAAATGAGAGCCCATGCTGGTGTAAACATCCTTAAACATTCTCAATGTGAGCAGCACATCGACAGCCTTTCTCAGCTTTGAATCTGGGTTGGTGATATGAAATGTCAAGCAGTGGCAACTGTGTACTGCAGTGTGATATACTGCTATACTTCTCTTACTATCTTTCTTAATTCTTAAAATTATTATACAGGCTGTTTGTGTGACCTAATATAAATCTAGAGACTACTTGGAATATTTCTACTTAAAAATCCATTTGTTGCACTGCAGGACCATAAAGGGAGCTACAAAAAACTAAAGGGTGATTACATATAGTCAACAAAAAGTTACAGCACCTAAAATATACACTTAGATATAAATGGATGTTTCCGCAACTTTGGGCACTTTTATGTCCCAGGGGTTGGTTTTTTATTAAAACAGATTTCTGCTTTTTGTAATATGTAGGACACATTAAAACTTTCCTGTTAAAGCTCCATGCTTTCATCATTTATTTTACTACTTTTGAAATACCTTTTTATGTAGGCTATAGTTTTCTGTTGAACTTTTGTCCCAGAGCCAAACTATGAAAATCCATAATTAAAAATAGGAATTCTTACATGTTTAAGACTATGATCTAAACAGAGTGAAATAAAAACGACTTTGTGTGTTTAAAAAAATAATAAATAAATTCAGATGAAATATGATACTTGATGTGTGAAGCATAGACGGTGTGAAGAAAACAAAGTAAGCCCTAAATAGTGAAAATGTGTTTAAGTGTTTTAAATGTCTTAATCTAAAAGTTCAAAATGCCAATAGTTTATAAAAAACAGTTTATACA